AAAAAGGTCTGATTTGTACGAGATACGCTTTCCCCTGAAATTGTTTTGATGAGAAGGATGTTGCACAGCAGGTACGACTGCAGGACCCTGCCATGTCAAGAGCTAGTTGGGTAAGCTCTGTGCTACACAGACCTTGAAAGATGATTCAAGCTGACCACCACGACTGCCAGCAAAACCCTAGAAAACTGAGAGTGTGGGCAAAAAAGCATGCAGAAGTGTCTGTTTTAGGCAGAGTTTTGAAGAGAGAAGAGATCAAATAGAAAAAAAAAAAAACAGGAAATGAAATCTGAAGAATTTGGGACAGCATGGAAAGGGCATCAGCAACAGAGAAAGAAAGAAGGAGCAAATGGGAACTATTTTACATCCCTAGAAACCACCTGGCAGTGGTCTGTGGTAGGCAGGCACCCACGTGGCCATGCACACGGCGTGGCTCTGCTCTTTTTTAATCATATGCTTAAAGTGCCTCTTGGCAGTCCAAGATCTAAATATTTATGCAGCTAGAAAAGACCAGTAGCTATTAAAAAAACTCTGAAAGAAGGCAACCAAGAGATTTAGGAGGTATAAAAAGAAAAAAACAACTGGTTTCAGATCTAATCATGAAACCAAACAAATGAGGCAGGGATTGACTCATTCTCCATTGTAGACATAAGACATTTGATAAATGACTGGTGCTTCATGACAAACACTTTTTAAAAAGTGGCCACATAATCCTTCTCTCTGCTGACTCATTCTCAGCAGCTGCCCCTCTCTAAACACTTCTTTCCAGTGTCTTGGTTGAGGACAGAGGGAAGATTAGACCTGTTTTTCTTCTTTGATCCAGTCCACAAGGAAGGGTGACCTTCCCACATCATGTTAGACATTTCCTTATCTCCTAGTCATTCAGTAAAATTAGATCCTACAGCACGATGTGAGAAGTTTTTAATTCACTTTCCCAATCCTTAATCCACTCACAGTAGATGAGAAATATTCTTTGCCACAAAATGATGGTCTCCTACATGTTTTAGTGATCTGAATGGCTCATGTTTCTTTTTGATTATCCTGTGTTTCTGAAGAAATCAGAGGCATTAAGGTACAGCATCTGGTGTTTTCCCTTTACCACACAGATCAGAAAGCTTTTAACATCTTGTGTTTCTTTCTGTAAACGGGACTGCCCGTTGAGGGAGAAGGATTCAACTTCTCAGGGGATCCTCTAGTGAGGGATCCCTGAAGATGAGCATAGACAGAAAAACTAACTTTTTTCTAATTAACTTCATTGAGATAAAGTCTGTCCTAAGCAATTTCACAGCCATACAGAAAATCTGGTCAAAGTAGTGCACACAGAGCTCCCAAATTCTGGGTTAACACCCAAGCTCTCCCTCTTCTCTCTGATGTAACTTATTTTTGTCCTTGCTTTTCACACATTGCAAATATTTGCCTTATCTTTTGTCAAAACTTAGCCCTCTCCTCAGATGAAAGTAGTTTTGATGCAAATACTCTCAAAAAACTGAATAGACTCAATTCTGTACATACGCTCAGTTGGAGCTCATGCATACACAGCGATCCGTTCCTGCATTCCCTGACCAATTCCATACCTGCAGTTACACACTGCGTTTCTACAAACGGTTTGTGACATATAGAGGGGGAAAAACAATGGGACAGATTAATGGGGTCACTGGCATCAAAGGATGTTTGTGGGAGGAGGTAGAAAGAGGCAGCACGGTAGGAGATGAAGAAAGCAGCAGGTAGCATTAAGTAACTGCAGAAAGGCAGAAAAGGAAGTCTTTTCACAAAGGCAGCCAAGATTCTAGAAGGATAGAGGGGAAAAAAAAGAGGGGAGCTACGCCACAGAAAGAGCTTGAGTGGAAAACAGATTATCTTTTTAAATCATCTTTTAAATTAAAATAGTTTTCTGGCCAGTAGAAAGCAGAGAGGAGAAGAGAAGAAAGGGGAAAGGAGTTTCTGCACATCCCAGGCAGCATCACAGCGGGAGATAATTTGCCTTCATATCAAAAAACAGTCTGTGCAGCAAAAGTGTGTGTTGTGAAGCCAAACATCATCTCCACTGAGAAGAACACTGTTTTGTCCCCAGGAGAGGCTATTTGCTGCTGCTAGGCATTGGTATCCAAAACTACAGAACGAATCCTCAGGGTGTTGAAGATGGGCTGCGAGGTAGGAGAAAAAAAACGTGGAGACCAGAGCATCTGTAAGTCACTTCTCTCTAACATCTTAGAATATGGGTCTGAACAAAAGCAAGAAGAGTTGCCTGGAGTATTCACACTCCATTTACTCCTAACTACCAAACTAGCTATTTGTGGATATTGGCTTCCAAGTGTAAGTACAGTGACCTTCAAGAGCTGAGAATTAGGCCCCAGGAATTTTCTTACATATAGTGCAAATGGAGACAGCCTTCCCTCCTGCACTGCACCCCTTCCCTGCCAAAAGAAATGCCACCAGTGGCATCCTGCCCATGAGGTCTGGGGATTCCCACAAAGATGTGGATTGGAAAGAAAGAAAAGAAAGGCGTGAACAAAACTAGGAATGGAGTCTAAAATTAAAAAAAACAAAACAAAACAAACAAACAAAGGATGCTGGCTGCTTCTTAGCATTTTATGACAACAAAAGGATGTCTAAGAAAGAATTTTAAAAAGCAAGATTCTATATGAAAATCAAGTATAAAAACACTGCATCCTCTCTGCATGAAAAGTGTCATCCTTAGATCTTGTACTGATATTATAACTAAATCTTAATTCTTATTAGATTCACAGTACGGTGGGGATTTTTTTTGTTGTAGTTATAATTAAGGCAACAAGAAAAACCGTGCCTTGTTCTTGTCTAACATCGAAGGCAATCAGAATAATAAGAGAGCCAATTTGGTAAATTCCTTCCTCTGATGCCCTCTTGAACTAACTTTTCAATTTTCCCCAGGAAAACACAGCAAAGCAAACCAGACCTGGGCTCCAAAGATCAACTCCCCCATCCTCAAAGCAGCTGTCAATTACCTTAACTAACGAATGCAGATGCAAATGATATTTAGGAAAAGAGAAAAAGGCAAAGGTACTTAAAGGTAAGATCACAGAGTTTCACTCTGTACGTTCTGGATCCGTTTTTAATATATTGTGTGGGGAATTAGGACTGCTACTCTCATTAAGACTATCTGGAATTGTATATCTAAATCCCCACGCACCACACTTGAAATATATATGCCCCTCTGAGAATAGCTAGAATTGCAACTGGATGACTACCAATATATGTTTTTTCTATTATCCCAGCTGAAGAAAGACTTTAAAACTAATGAACAAAGACATGCAAGTGCAATGCTTTGGGAGACAGAGGAGAACAAAACTCGAAGAAACAGAAAGCTGAACGACTCCGTTAATGAAATTCAGTGAATATAGATCCTAGTTGTAAAAGTTCAGCTGCTTATAGGAGAAAAAGTTAAGGAACAAAATTATAATTACGTTCGGAGAAAAGACATTATTGCCCTATGCAAGAAAGAAAAAGACAACAGTTCAATATTTAAAGAACGACTTAGTGAAAACCATATGATATTGGAGGAGTTAAAAATATTCCATAAAACCAGGGGTAGGTTTTCAAAAGCTCTTTTTTTTTTAAAGAATCCTTGATCTCTGAGTAAAATGAGTATATTGTTTTACTGTAAAGTATCTTTTTACATTTTCCTCCCTCTCCCTTCAGGGGGTTTTGCTAACAGGAAGTGACCCTGCATTACAGCAGGTTAAACTTGCCTTTCCTTGAAACATGGGCAATTCAGGCAAGCATACACTTTTCCATTGTTGTTACCTTTTTTCTCCTCCTTTTCCCTTTACAACAGGATAATGCAGCTTTTCATACTTTCATATAACACCCTTCCTAGCACTTCAGTGTGGATTTTTGACGACTCATGACAATGTACTTCTTTGAAATTGGCCAAAGCTCATTTTAACGGACGCAGAGCTACAAATCCTCCACGACCACCAAGCAAGCCTGACAAGAGGCGGCTGGGGAAGGAGACACACAGAGTTGATTCACTGTGTGTCATTAATGAGATCAGACATCACCACTGTAGGTAGGCTTTACATTATAGACCACCTGCTGGGTTTCTTTTTTCCATTTAATAAAAGCCCCATGCCCTGGGATGCTGAACTCTCCCAGACCTCCGTGATGGGAGCTGACGCTGCCAATACCCCAAGCAGAGAAGAGCAGCAATTAATGTTCCTTAAATGTAAGGAACTTCTACCTTCTTCGAGATTTAGACCCAGGCATGTGTAGGCGTAGGTCATACAGAGCCCA